CACAAGTCCTCTCACCATTCTCCGCTTCACCTCCTTCAGTCCTGCTCAGCGGCTTTCGGTCAAGATGTCACATCGTCATCAAAGGAGCTTTCCCATCTCAGCGTGTCCAACAAGGCTTGGCACAACTAATTCGATTATACGTACGAGCTGGCTTTCCCAATGAGGAACTTCAGGCCATCTCAAACCAACTTTTGATTCAGCATCAGAACTCAAGTTTGCAGGTCTCAAAAATTGCTCCTGCTATTTTTGGCATGGGGTTCTCTTTTGTGTGTTCCCGTTGTTTTTCCTCTTTCTTGTTTCTGGTTTCTTCCTGTCCCTTCTCTTGGTTGTTGTCTTTCTGTGGTCTCTTGTTTCCCTCCGTCAGCTCCCTGGCTCAAGCTCCGCTTTCCTTTTGCTCCACTTTCGTTTGATCGCTCATGGATCATGCTCAAGGACGAGCGTTCCATCATCATTTGGCTAGAGCTATCATGCATCTCAACTATCTGGCAGGACTCTTGCCTTTCTTCGAGCCCTCCATTGAATATGATGAAGCGCCGCCTCCGGCCAATTTCCGTCTTGATCATCCAAACACCAGAGGCCTGCACACTTTTGTACCTCGCCCGACATCCGAAGGTCCTCCGACCTTGGTATCACATGGAGGCATCCCTTCCCACATGGTCTTGAATCCAGAACCGTTCCTGCGACCGGCATCAACAAGCTCTCCACCAATCAATACATCTATTCTCACCACTGGTACATCTCGACCTGCCAGTCTTATGACGGACCCTGGTCCAACTCCGACTCCTGGATCCACAACAACGATTACCTTCTCTACGGCCCCCACACGCACTACCACACCTGTGCCAGTGCGATCAAAACAACGGTCATCATCTCTGGTGGACCCACAACCAAAAAAGAAACAGAAAGGGGAGTCAATTCCTGAACCTAGACTCGCCCACAATCTTGATGCTGTCCATTCGACCTCGTTACCCATTATTTCAGACGCCCGTTCAGCAGACATGAATTCGGATGACTCCGATGGTGAAGCTGCGTCAAGAGAGGATATCAGCTACATTCATGGTGGGAAAGCAAGACCCAGAACACCGCCTCTGACCTTGACTCCCAATCCAAAAGCTCCGCCGTCTCCACAGATGCACATCGCTCATGCTATTCCTGCTAATACACCTCCTGATCCGGCTCGTCCGTGGACCCACGCCGATGACCAGGAATTGATTGGCATGAAACAGGACACAAAGTCCAGACCTTCGTGGAAAACAATTGGAGCAAGACTCCATCGCGATCCTCAGCTCTGCAAGCTTCGCTGGGGACTTCTGAAACAGACATCAGAAGTGACTGACCCACCAGGTCCGGGAAATCCACCTCATGAATTGGAGGGTGATGACTGACTTTAGCATCAATTCTTGCGATGTCAAAAAAGGCGTCACTGCTGCCTCATTTGGGGCTGTTGTTGACTTGCTTCGGGTTTTCCCTTTCTTTTTGCTTTTCTTCGTGTCCTTTCTTTGAGGTCTCCCTTTTGGTCAGTCTTTCTTTTGCCTGGGATGAATGTTCTTACTCGGTGTCTGTTCACCCACAGCAAGTATGGCTCATTCATATCATCGTCAATGAACAGCTCCTGAACGCTCCCGCTCTCGGGACGACAATATGTGGCAAAACCGTGGTACTCATCAACATGACAGACAACGAAATCCTCGACCTGAAGAACCTCCTCCTGCTCCTCAAGTCCGAAAGGTCTTGGTCATCGTTGACATTGAACAAGTCCGTCCGCTCATGAATAAAACCCATGATGACTCGATGGCCGCTACAACATGTGAGGCTCTCCCTCGCCTCACTCCGGTCGAAGAACGTGCATTGTTCACATTCAACATCCTGCTCAACACACACAGGTTGGAAACCTCCACGGTGTACAACCTGTTGTATTGCATCAGCCAGCACATTTGGTATACGTGGGATCGATTCTTATCTCCTTCAGCCATGGACATCAGATGGCAAGATGATACTGGAGATACGTTTGCTCTCCGCAACGAAGAATACCTCGTCACCTATCTGAACGCATACCGCTCTCACTGGACTGAGGGACAAGAACATAATGAGTTCTTTTCACATCACATTCATCCCTTTACGTCTCACATTCAGCCTTACATCATGCGCCTGAGCTGCCATGAGGCTCTTCCAAACCGCAACATGCTTCCTTAAGGTTAAAAGTCTCTTACATGTAGGGACATGGGACTCTCCCGTTCGCTGGTGTGGTTTGCTTTTGCTTCTTGTTGTTTTTTACCTGTTAAAGTCTTTAGCTCTTGGCTCCAGCTGTACCATGACCAAGCGTGATTCCTCATTTGCCGGTCTCACGCGTCCTTCTTCATCCATGAGCAAGCCACGTCGTGTTTCATGGAGATCCCGCAGTCATGGCCAATCCAGTAGCACTGCTGCTCCTTCGGATCTATTGCAGCCGCCCCGTGGCGACAATGCTCCCCAAGCTGGAAGTTCCCTCTCACCTACTGCATCAGGCGAGTACACACCTCACTATGGGTACTCTTCGGCAAATCTTGCCACACCCATACCATTTCCTGCCGATCATCAAGCTCCAATTCTACCTACTCCTACAGGAGAATCATATCCACTCCAGCAAGAGATGGAAGAAGTCCGACGTCAGCTCCATGCATACTATTTTGTGGAAGTCCAATCACCTCCAGAAGATGACGATCAACCGGCGCTTCGACGACTTATGGTGACGGAAGTGGATCGACGTGGCCGCCACTACAATAGGCAGCCTGAATATTTTTTCAACGGCATCATCGGCCATGTTCGGGCCGGACAGAATGGCTGGATTGATTCATGGGATCAATCCTCCCAGCTCGCCAACCACTGGCGACGCTACTTTCAGATCCCCGAGACCTCTCCATATGGAAACTGGCGTCCCCATCAAGCTGACGGTCCAGAAAGCCCTGAATCGGCACATGAATCCGTCATGGATGACACCGATTCTCTCATTGCCAATGCTGACATCAATCCACCTCCTGTCCAGATTCATCAACTGGCAACGTTCTTCTGGAACATCCTCAACAATGACAGGGAGGCCAACATGGCCATACTCGAACGTCTGGAGGATCCTGAAGGAGATCTTTCCCGACACCCAGTTCAGATCTTCTCGGCGGCAGACTTGGCTCATCTTGCTAGCCACTTGGCGGAATCCACAAGGACTTTGTCTATCCAAGCACGACGCATGGAGGCATTACCTGATGACAGCCTGTGAGTTTTAGGATTAATTCATTCGATGATTCTTCCCTGTATTTTGAAGCCATTTCCGCTTCAGGGAACGGATAAGAGCTTTCACTGTGGATGAATTTGAAAAAAGCCTCGCGGCAGCGAGGCGTGTGTGTGGAACATCTGAAAAGATGTAAAACTTTCTATAGCTTTGACTTGGTTCAATTTTACTTCGTACTTGCAGGGGGATGGAGAGGACGTATGAGGCTCCATCCAACGAAGCTCCTCATATGATCCTAGGATATCACCAGGGACGCCTGGTGACGTACCTGCAACACCATTTTATTTTCCCGTCAATGGCAACCGGCTAAGCCAAGAACCGGCATGTCGTTGTTCAGTGTTTCAGTTGCATCAGGACCTTCCTCAGAACTTCAATGTCAACAGGTTCATTATATTGTACGGTTTTCGCAATCTGAATTACTGCCGACTTCGTCAGATGGAACAGTTGTTTTTGCAAGGACAAAGAAAGCAATCTTCTTTACTGGTTTTCCTGCCATGTCATCCAACTCTCACCTGTCAGACTTTAAGGGATTGTTTGTGCACGACCGATGCACTCCACAACAGTAATTCGATAAGAATTTTCTGAGCAAGTGTGTGGAACATCTGAAAAGATGTAAAACCTGTACTTTTTCCTTTGTTATTTCATAGGTACTTTTTGTCTTGTACTCAGTGACTGAAATTCATGCAATTTCGCAGCAGGGGGACAGCATTTCACTGGGACTGTGTCCATTCGATCACCACCCCATTGTCTATAATGATGTTTTGCTCAAACACTCGCTGTAGTCGGATAATTGTCAGAACATGAGGTGCGGCCGGGTCCACTTTGAAATTAAGGGTGACGGTCGGGGATTTTTTGTGGGAAAGGGTTTGCTTGATTGTTCAGGTTCGAAGAAAAATGGTTTGAAATGTTTTTGGGATACTCGTTGTAAAAAGGAAAATGCATTGCGTTTTGATCCCATCAGGAAAAACATATTTGTGCCAAGAGCACCGCTGGGTTTCTACGCTGGCCAGTTGCACTGTTTCATAATGATTGGTTGAACCTGATTGGGCGCCAAGCAGGGTTGGTTCCCTTGCTTACAGTTGGCCAATGCAACAATAAAACCTATGGTTGTTGATGCAAAACCAAGTCTGGATTTTGAAACAACAATATACTTCGTGTTTATCTACCCATGAGAAAACCCAAAACAACACTTGTAGCGCCCAGCCTGTTCTGAACGATCCCCAAGACTGAATCTGAATATGAGTGTGGGTGTGAGCGTCAGTGGTTGTAAAATTATTCATAGGCATAAACATGTCATGTAATTTCAAGAAAACGTCATACACATGCCTTTTGAGATTGGCGGTTGATGCTTTTGACGCGTGTTTTGGTGACATTGCAGAAAGCGGGCAGCAGGCGCAGATGCAGGATTTCGAGATACCTGCAGGTGGCAAAGTGAATTTACGTTTTTTCAGTTGGGTTGGGGAATTGGGAATCATCACAGCACTTACTTGTTTATGAACTACGTTTGGTGCATTCAGTACATTCATGTTGCGTTATGCTTTTCAGGATAAGTATGGATAAGTAAACTTGACATTCATGTTGCATTATTGTGTTCAACGCAGAAGACATCAGCGGTTTGTTCAATGCACATTTCATTGTTTCGTGTTTGACTCCAACGCTCACACACTTGAAATTCCAAGCATCAAGTTCAACCGGTTCAACCGGTTCAACCGGTTCAACCGGTTCAACCGGTTCAACCGGTTCAACCGGTTCCCATTCCTTTTTGCTCAGACCGTGTTGGCTCTCCGAAAATTGGTGCGCTACGTCCATGTGTCATGGCTTACGGAGTCCGAGATCCATTTCTTGAAGGGCCTGGGCCTGGGCCATGTGGGCCAAACCCACCGCCAGTGATGGAGCCCTGTCTGAGGGCCATCATATACTCCGTTCAGCATCATCTCTGTAGTCAATCGGTGTTTTTTGCAGATCGTATGCTCAATGCTGCTTCTCTTGATGCTTTTGGGACAAATTCGCCCGCTGCAGTTGCACTGGAACTGTGGGCAGATGCCTTGCTTCGTGCAGGAGAGTATGAGCAGGTCAGATGGCAACTGCGAGGGAAGAATTTGAGTCCCAGACTGCAGTACCTCTTAGCAGTCGCTTGTATCAAATTGGAACAGTTCCAAGAGGCTCAAGTGGCTTTGCTGGGAGGCGATTTGGATCTGGTGGAGTTATGGTGCCATGGACATTTGTCAAGCCTTGACCATGTGGTTGAGGGGGCAGCTGGTCTGTACCAATTGGGACAGGTAGCTGAAGGCTTGAGGAAAAGAGAACAAGCCTACGAATGTTATGCCAGATGTCTCAAGCTTTGTCCGTTCATGTGGTGTGCGTTTGAGCGCCTCAGCTGGTTGAGTTTGTGTTTGCGCAACAAGACTCCCAGCCAGAACCCACGTGAATTTGCTGCTGGAGTGTTCGAGCATGACAAGTTGATGAAAAATGACATTCTCTTCCCTAGCGAAATTTGCAAAACCGTCACTCCGTCGGAGAAGTGCGGTTTCCGGACACCCCGGAAGAGGCGGAGAAGTGGGAGCCTACACAGCATGCCCAGCGCGCACAGCGCAAAATCACTGAGTCCATTTGGACCGAGATTCTCACCGCGACTGCCACTTTTGGACAGAAACCCTGTAACTCCTGTGAGAACATGGAGCCCCTCCAAGGTCCGCGGGGTGTTTTCTCCACAAAGTTTGGCATCGCCCAAGTCCCCCAAGAAGTGCCATCGCTACACACCCGGGTTGCCTGGCGCAGTGCCGACTGAAGAGCCCAACCAGACACACATTGTGCATCCCATCGATTCCATCGATTCCATCGATTCCATCGATTCCATGCATCGCCTGAGAAACACAGTGTGTAACGTGTGCAACACAGTGCGCTCAGTGCGCTCAGACACAGGATGCTCAGTGTGCAACGCAGGATGTCGCCGAGGCAAAGGTGGAGACGAAAACGGCGATAGCCTTCGCAGCTTCAGTACGTTGTTGCAAGGTCTTGGTGAAGCACTCCATTCGTTACATCGTTTCAGATGTCAAGAGGCCATCGATGCGGTGAAAACTCTTCATCTCAATGAACAACGCTCAGCATTTTGTGAAGACCTGGTGGCGCGTTGCCATTTTGAGATGCAAAACTATGAGGAAACCGTGCGGAGTTACGGCCGATGCTGCGTACAGCACCGTTTCTTCCGATCGTTTGGCTTCGAATATTTCTCGACGGCTTTGTGGCAGTTGGGAGATCGATTGGAACTGGGGAACTTGTCCAGGCAGGTCTTGGAGTGGGGTCGCAGTAGGCCGCGAGCCTGGTGTGTCTTGGGCAACTGCTTCAGCTTGAACAACGAAGCTGAAACTTGGAATGGAAGAAGTTGACGCACTTTGTCAATGTTTGATATGGTTGCACTTTATATATGTCTGATGCAACGCTTCCTTATACCCACTTACCTTCTTCGAACTTGCCCCTTAGCGCACACTGTCCCAAGATTCGACTTGAGTTCTGAATGTAGCCACAGCCAACCCAGATCATCCACGCCTGAAGAACTGGCGTGGATTAAAGTCCACGAGAGGCTACCTGGTATTTTTATTCAAGTTGATATGGTATGACATGGTAGAGAGATATAGTGCCTATATAGTGCCTATTATATACTGGGCACATCTTGTTCCACCAGCGAAGATTTTCAGGAAGAGGCCATCAAGTTCTTCAAGCGTGCCATCCAGCTGGATCCTAACCTCGTGTACGCTTATTCGCTCATTGGCCATGAACTCGTATCAATGGAGAAGTATGAGAAGGTGCCCAGTGCCCAGCGTTATTCCCTGCATGCAGTTGATGAACTTACGATCTGGCCAATTTGTTCAATGCAGCAGTTGGGATGCTCACTGCACCGTAGAACCTTAAATCCGGATAACAATTACACATCTTCATGCATCTTTCTCATCCACACATCAGTCCACGCTTCGACTAATGATGTCATTCATGGCACTTGACTTGACTTGACTTCCTCATGCCACCAGCAAATGAGTATGGTCATGGTTGAAACTCTGGTAACTTTACAGTTGATGAGCTACTGGTTTACTGTTAGGAAACGACCAATCTATCACCATCCATTGTCCAGTCCATGCGTTGTTGTTAAGAATCTAAGTAAGACTCTGATCCGCGCCCAGACAGAGCTTATAGTGTGTGATATTCCGAATCCCCATCATTTTTTGGTTTTAGAGCTGATGTTGGACTGTTCGCAGGCAATCGAGATGTTTCAAGCAGCGATTGACCTAGATCCGCGGCAGTACAATGCCTGGTGGGGCCTCGGTGATGTCTTCCAACGGCAGGAGGACTTTGCCCAAGCCAAGTACAACTTTCTCCGTGCTCTTGACATTAATCCGTCTAACCAGGCATTTGGGTTGGGCGAGGTCGACTGAAATTTGACCAGTTTTTACCGTTCAATGATGCCGAGTAGTCAGCTGACTGCAGATGATGCTAGAGCCTGTTCAGATGCAGATGCTTCTGCTAATCATAGGCAAACCTCCCTGATCAACTAAACAAAAACACAATGCCATTTTTCCCAAATTTTCGCTGCTCACAACTGTCGCTTTTTCATTCAGCTCCCCAGGTTTTGATATCTGGACAGCTTACAGAGGGCAGCTTCTATGTAGACCTAGTATTCAAGCGTATGAAAACAAATCTACAACCAACTTTACTGTGCAAGAAGGCATCCTCAAAGTTTTTCCCCCAGTGCTCCCATTCTTTTCTAGCATTTTTTCCTTTTTCTCCATTCATGTCATGCTTGTCATTGTTTCTCAAGATTTGCGGATTCCTCTGGATCGCATGGCAGGTGCTGAAGATTTCACTTGGCACAGTGTTGCAAGAGATGGGCCAAGCCAATGAAGCCCTTCAGCTACTGTCCTCTGCCGGTGGGGCCAGCGTCAGCAGCAGTCGAGCTTTAGCGTTTCTGCAGAAGGGCCGAAACTCGGCAGCAACGCCCAGGAACACGATGGAACACGCCATTGCCTGGAGAAACGACGGTCAAATGAGCAACCCAGATATTGGGGATGCAGATGCACAGTCAAAAATCATGATCTGCGATTACTGACTGTAATTTGATTATATCTTATGATATGAGGGCGCACCTGCATATATATATATTATATATATATATACATATAATATACGAGTAGTAATGATACGAGCACTTGCAGTAATGATCAAACTCATGATATCTATTTTCCTATCTGCGCGCACAAACACATCTATATCTATATCTATATATATATATATCTAATATCAATATCAATATCGATATCGATATCCATATCGGTATCTATATTTATAACTAAGTACTAGAACATAGAATATAGAATTGAAACAAATTAGGTTTTGGGGCATCTTCCAAAATTGAAAAAAACGGTGTACATAGAATATCCCAGATGTATACATAGAATATTTTTTCAATTCTGGAAGATGTTTTTTTATTTTTTTGAATTATAAAAATATCACCCGTACTGCAGCATACATGGACATAAATGGTCATTTTTCCCATTTTCACCCCACTAAAATCTTTTGAATTATCAACATATCGCCCATACTGCAGCATAAATGGACATAAATGGACATTTTTCAAATTTTCACCCCGCCAAAATCCTTTGAATTATCAAAATATCACCCATACTGCAGCAGAAATGGACATAAATGAACAAGTACCATGTTATATATCTATATCTATATCTATATCTGCATCTGTATATATATATATACATCTATCTATATCTAATATCTATATCTATATTAACCTATATATCTATATCATATCTATATCATATCTATTTATATCTGTATATATCTATATCTATATCTAGATCTATATCTATAGTTATCTACATCTATATCTACATCTATACATATATATATATGTATACATATGGAGAGAGAGAGAGAGAGATGTTGAGAGCAATGTTCACAGGATGTATGAAGGATGAGATTCTTCTGGGTAAACCTGTCAGAGCTTTGCTCTGCCTTTCAACTTCCCAAAGTCTTGCTGATTGCCGGCATCCCTAAGGCTTGCTGTGCCTTGAAGCGCGACATAGCGAAGCTGTTGAGGAGTTGCGAAGGGCGTGCTACTTGGCACCCAAGGAACCAGGCATTCATTTCCATCTTGGCTGTGCATGCCGAAGCCTGGGCGATAGCGTGGCAGCTTTGAAGCACTTCACCTTCGCCTTAGATTTGGCCAACGATCGTCACTTGACAGATGCTACACGGAAAGAGCTGCGTGAGCTGCGTGGACAGAGTGCGTAGCAGCGTAGCTTTGTGCAGGCGATGTGGAACTCTTGCAGGGGACGTGCCAAAATGGTGCAGCTTTTTGCGAGGTTCGAAGTATTTGAAGCTTAACAATGCTTAATAAATCTTAATATGCATCATGCACGATGCAGAACACGGTTTGGGAAATGGACAGATCCCAAGGGTTGGAGCTGTGCGAGTCGAATCAAAATTGCTTGGTACTGTCCATCCCAAACCCGAGACAATGACCGTATGTGCACGTGAACGTTTCGCCCAAATCCTTGCAACAGCCCAGCTCAGCAAGGTTAAAAATGCGTTGCACCTCTGAGACGTGGCGCATGGAATCGCATGGATCGCATGGTGCACACAACAGCTGGGTGTGGGTGCGCATGAGTCTGCTGCTTCAGGCGCACCAAAAAAGTCTCTGAGGCCAGACGAAGCAGCTTGGACTCTGGGAAGTTGACTTTTTTAACGTTCAATGCCAACCACAGCGTGAACGATGGGGAGGTGACTATGACGACAACAGCCAGTGAGCAAATCAAGTACTCTGCTTTTTCGTATTCGCCAACATTTTTCCCCCGGCTATGCAGTTCCCATCTTCAGGGTTCAGGGTTGAAGCTGCCAAGGAAAACTGATATCCCCTAAGGCTTATTGTGGTTCTTAGATAGATTTTGATGCTGAAAGTTCTTGCTCAGGAAGATTATCCTCGTGGATGACTGCCAGGTACAAGCTGACGGGCTGACCATGGGCTGACCCAGCTCTGACAGAAGTTCTTTTTCTGAGACCTGAGTCACTCTAAGTCCATATCCAAGTCCCGCATCGAGGTTTCTGGCTTGAAATCTGGTTCCAGCTGATTAAGCTGATTAAGCTTGCAACATTGAGCGAGAGAGTGGCCCACAATCCTCAGGAAAGGCCGTAGGCCATAGGATTTCAGAATGGAATGTAGATAGAAAGCTCACACAAGAGCTGAGTTGGCTTCCAAGATTCGACATGACTTAGACTTAGCTGGTATTTGCTGGTATACATGTTAGATAGGTTTTCGTGCGGGTATTTGCCAATTTCATCTACATGTAGACTTCAAAAGACACCGTGTGCACCGTGCACCACTTAAGCGCCCCATGGCATGCCATGGCTGGAAGCATCAGCTGCCCTCCCTTAGAACCGAGCTCGGGGAGGCAGTGAGATGGGAAACGTCGGAAATGTCGGAAACGTTTTTTTTTCCGGCCAAACATCTCACGAATTCTCGCTACCGTTGAATATCGTTGAATGACTGACATATCGTGACCACTCTTGGCAGATGTCGTGCATTGCCATCGTGGTGCACGATGTGTTTCAGTGGCGTGGTGTTACAATGTGTTACAGTTGTTATATCGCCGTGCTTTCAGCAGTTTGAGCGCTGGCGGCTCCAGGTGCTGGCACAACTACGGTCTGAAATGGGTGCGAACCTGGGTAGAGCCGCAAGAGCAGGCTGGGTTTGTGCTGTGCGCGTGGCTATGGAATGCTATGGGCTTATGGTTTTTACGTGTTTTGACACGTTTTTACAAGCCTTGACTCACTCAAACTGTTTGTTAAAGGGCCTCTGTAGCTGGAGGACCTCTACTACCAGCACTTCAACACAGGCATCTACCGTGCTGCAGAAGTCGTGCGGGAACAACTCATCGATACAGCGGTCGATGAGGCAGAACTGCATATCTTGGAGGTGACGATTGTGAAGTCAAACTAATCATTGAGTTTTTCTTGGTTTGAGAATTTTGACATCATTGAGTCATACTGATACTGCATTGCCATGGCATGCTGCTGGTTGATATTCGTTGATATTCGTTGACTATTATAATCAATATTATATGCTGTCCCGTTCTGTCCGTTCTGTTCCCTTCTGTTCCCAGGTGGTCTCCACCTTATCGCAGCCGCTGACACCCGGCGCCGCAAGGCGAGGGCGTTGGGCTCTGAGCGCGTTGCACGGCCTGCGCTACTCCCTTTGCGCGGTCGAATTTCAGGCGTCGACATCTGTGACATTTGGAATATGTTGAAATCGGTCTCCCAGTAGGAAATATTTAGGGAATTTTAAAGGAATTTTAGGGAATTTTAAGGGTTTTTTTTTAAAGGAATTTTAAGGGAATTAAAGGGATTTTTTAGGGAATTTGAAGGAATTTAAAGGGATGTTTTCCGGGAATTTTAAGGAATTTTTAGGTAATTTTTCGGGAATTTTAAGGAATTTTAAGGGAATTCAAGGGAATTTTAAGGGAATTTAAGGGAATTTTTAGGGAATTTTAAGGGAATTTGTAAGGAATTTTAGGTTTTTTTTAGAAGAATTTCAGGGACTTTTTCAGGAATTTTAAGGAAAATTTTGCGAAATTTTAGTGTATTGTAAGGGAATTTTAGGAAATTTTTAAGGGAATTCTAAAAGGATTTTTAGGGCATTTTTAGGGACTTTCTAGGGAATTTTAACGATATTTTAGGGAATTTTGAAAGGAATTTTAAAGGAATCTTAGGGAATTCTGGGGAATTTTTAAAGAAGCCGGGGTAATTTTAGGGAATTTTTTAAGGGTCATTTTAAGGAATTTAGGGAATTTTTAAAGAAGTTTAGGGAACTTTAGGGAATTTTAAGGGAAATTTTAGATAATTTTTAGGGAATTGTAAAGGAATTTTAGGAAATTTTAATGGGATTTCTAGGGAATTTTAGGGAATTTGAGGGAATTTTATTTTTTTTGGTGGATAATTTTAAAGAATTTTTGGGGAATTGTAGAGCATTTTTAGGTTAAAGAATTTTAGAGAATTTTAAGGTCTTGGTGAATTTTGATAATTTTTTAGGGAGTTTTAGGGAATTTTTAAAACATTTTAGGAAAATTTGAGGAATTTTAGGGAACTTTGAATACATTTTGTGACATCGACTGCGGTGGAATATGTTGAAATCGGTTTCCCAGTAGGAGTCTCTAGGAGTCTCTCCTCTCTGCTTCTGATGGTCAGGAGTGTTACCAGTCCGAAGCCGAAGCAGCTGACAAACTCCTGCCCCTTGGTAGGATGCCTCTTTTGGTCGCACCGTGCACCAACTTTCTTTCCACCATGTTCTACCAGTATTTCAGTGGCTGGTGTGTGTGCCTGCCTAGGACTTTCTGTAGCGTTGCAGAAGAAATGCTAGCGCGGTTGAATGTCCGAACCCCAAATGGACACTCCAATATTTGCACTGCACTGCTGGTGCCGGAGGCTGGTTTGGGTCGGCATTGCCGGTGTGGATATTCCCGCAATATCGAAAATGCAAATGACAGAACCACCACAAGTGCTTCAATCTCAAGATGGTGCTCCAAGCTCGCAATCGGTCTCAAACTCTTTCCCGCATCAAACGGACACGCAGGTGACGGTTTAACTGCATACACGTAAATCATCCTATATCTCTGTCCCATCCTATCTTGTCTTGTCTAATTGTATCTGATTGCATATGGACATAAGTTGTGTAGGTCACCTCTGCGTGCATATGCGTCACACACACAGCCATATGCGTACACACACACACACATCTATCTATGCTCTGATGTGCAGGGGAAGTGACAACCCAAACACACACACACATATATATATATATAATATAATATAATATAATATAATATGATTTAATATAATATACTACGCTATAATAAAATATGATATAATATAATATGATGCTATATATATATATATATGTATATGCGTATGTATTTATAATAATCACACACACACACGCATATGTATATGTAATATAGGTATACACACCACATGCTCATCATGATCAGTGCGTGCATACATACATACTTGTAGATTACATTACATGACATGACATGACATTACATTGCCATTCAGTACAATGCATTACTTAGCATAGAATAACATAACATACATACGCGCACATCCTATACTGCTAACTAATTAACTCACTAACTAACTAGCTACCTAACTACCTAACTAACTAACTAACTAACTAACTAACTAACTAACTAACTAACAAATGTAACTAATGTAACTAATGTAACTAATGTAACTAATGTCAAGTGGCTCAAACGCGCCGGCGCGCCCCCGGCCCGTTCATGGAACCGGCGATCCTCACCCTCCAGGGGGTCGAGGTCGCCGGTGCCACGGACGGCTCACACGTGAGCCTGTCCGTGGCAGCCTGGCTCCGGCTGGGAGGGCAGGTCGCCTTGGCGGCACCTGCCCCCCCGGGGCCCCGGCAGCCGCCCCGGCGGCGCCTCCACTCCCTGCCCGTCGCTCCCCTTCCCCCTCCCGCTCCCGCTCTCGGGGGAGTGGCTCTTCCTCCCAGGGGTCGCCCCCCCGTGCTCGCCTTTGCCCGCGCCGGGCGCCCCCTCCCGAGAGCTCGCCTTCGCCCTCCTCGCCCTCGGCTGCGGCGGAGTTCGAGGAGATCCCGGTGGAGCCCGAGCCTCCTCTTCCTCCACCGGCGCACCGCCCGCCGGCGCGCCCTGCGGCGCGTGGCCCCCCACCCGCGCCTCGCCTTCCCCAAGCACCCGGCCGTCGGCCCACGCGCCGTAGCCACCGTGCCGGGCGCGCCGTCCGCGCCCGCCAGGGCCTTCCTCCTCGCAGGACCTCCAGCCCACCCGTCACTGCCTTCACGGCACCCGGGCCCATCCCAATCTCCGCCAACCCTTTTGCCCGGACGGGGCCTTCCCCGTTCCGCTGACCCGGTCGGCTCCGCCTGCGCCATCCGCTTTTCAAGGCAGCAGGCACCCCACGCCACCCCCCGGCGGCCGGCACTCCGCCACCCCCCGCCACCTCCTTCCCCGCCCCCACCTCTGCTGCGCGCCATCCTTTCAAGGCAGCGCGGCAACTCCCTTGCCCTTTGAGCAGCCGGACGCACCTTTCACTCCACCCACACCTCTCCCCACCGGAACCCCCGGAAAAAAAAAAGAAAGGGGAAAAAAAACAAAAACAAAGGAAAACCGAGGTTCGCCACTGACCAAAACAAAAAAAAAATAATAACATACAGCAGACAGCAGACCGGGCGAGCCTGACGCCATAGCAGCCTGCGAGAGAGCGTTTGGCCGCTGCTCATGGCGGCGCCTCGGCCGCACTGTGATCGGGAGGAGGCACGGGCCGAAAATACACACAATGGTGACGGTGACGAAGTCGTTTTGGTTCAAGCGTTTCACCCTAGCGCCACCACGGCAGCTGGGTCCACCCTCCCGGATGTCTCACCCGCCCCCGTCGTCCTCAGTGACGGCGAGGACGCGCCTCCCCCCACCGCTCCTACCGATGGCGCCCATGCCGCGCCCACATGTTGCACCTGCCTCGAGCCCTTACTCCCTTCCGGGGTGGGGCGCCGGGCGGTCGTGTATTGGCCCGGCTGCCGGCACGCCTACCACTTCGCCTGCCTCGCCAGATCCCGCGCGCAAGTGCACCCTCCACGATGTCCTCTGTGCCGTCATGCCTGGGACCCAGCGCTCGATGCCAGCTTGAGCAGCACTTGCCACGGGCTCCACTTCAACCCCTTCCAAGAATCCGAGCCCGAGCGCGCCACGCCGCCCCCTTCTCCCCGCCCCAGGGGCGCGGCCGCCTGGCGCCAGCGCGGCCCCCCAAGTGGCATTGTCCGGACGGATGCCAACTCCTGGCTGTACGTGCCCCTACTCCTCGCCGCGACAGGCGAGCTCCACGAGGATGCCGCCTTGGCCTGGCAACAAGCCACCGCCACCACACGGTGGTGGGAGCGCGCCCGGCAAGCGCTGACAGCCGCGCCCCCGGTCCCCCTCACCACCCTCCTGGAAGCCCTCCACGCCTGCCCAGCTGCTGGCGCGCTTTCCTCGCACCAGCGCCTTTCCCGACAGGCGGCCGCGCTCCCACCAGGTGCCCAAGCGCATCTGGGCTGGGCAGTTCGCCACCTCTGCGACCCCGACGCGTACGTCCCCGCCGCTGGCCAAGAAGTGCTTCTCCAACTCTATGGTGGCCTTCACCTTGCTGCCGACCTCGACCGGCACTCGGACACCTTCCGAGCGCGCCTGGACCCTCCGGCGCCCATCCAGCTCCCTGCCGATCCCGGCCCCGTGCATCCCGCGGTCGAGACTTCGGCGCCCAGAGAGCCGGCCATTGTCCGGGCTCTGGCCCAACAGGTGGCCCGTGCCCACCGGCCCCCGCCGCGCCGCGGCGGTCGCGGCCGCGGGCGTGGACGACACGCAGCCGCGGCGGACCCTGCTCCCGCAGAGCCTGCCGAGGTCCCAGACCCTCCGCCTCCCCCTCTTCCGCCCTTTCCAAACCCCGCAGCTCTGCTCCAACAAGCGCTCCGCAGCCTTGACGACCTCGACCTCGCCCACACCTTGCGGGTGCGGGTCTCGACGTTCCAAGGTGCGCCCCGGCGCTTGCAGGGGGTCCTTGCCTTTGCGCTCCGCTTGGGCCTCACCGAAATCTGCGACCACCCCGCCAACACGGACCCTGCCCAAGCACGTGGCTGGAAGCTCTTCCTCCTGGCCCCGCGGATGCTTTGCTACCGGTCCCGTCCCGGGGAGCGCGCCGACCCCAGCGACCTCGACCGCCGAGCCACTATGTTCCGGAACGGCCAGTGGCACCAGCTGCTCGGCGAAGCTGCCAGCAGCTTCCACCCCACAGCGCCGTCCTCGAGCGTCCCCTCTGCTGATGCGCGTGCTTCCCGTGCAGCCAGCCTGGCACATCAAGGGGAACTTTCCGCGGCTGCCCGGTCGCTAGTGGCCGAGCCCCTCGCGCCGCTCTCGTCCGCCACCCTGGCCGAGCTGCGCAACCCGTCCCGGCGCCCGCAAGTCCGGCATCGACCCCTCTCGGACGACGTTGCCTCTTTCCAGCCCGATGAGCTGCTCCACGTCGATGCCACCAGATTCCTGCAAAACATCCGCCGGGCCCGCCGCGGGGCGGCCGCTGGTCCGTCTGGCTGCACCAATGAGCACCTGCGGGTCTTGCTCGAGTCTGAATCCGACTCCCGCCTCCTGTGCGACGCGGCCTCGCTCCTGGCCTCGGCGCGGGTGCCTCCCCTCATTATGGACGGCCTCCGAGTCGGCCGCCTTGTTGCCCTCCAGAAAGGCAACGGGCGTGTGCGCGGCCTCGTGATGAGCGACGTGTTCCGCCGGCTGGTCGGCCGGACCTTGGCGCAGCAATTCTCAGCCCAGTTCCAAGAGGCGTGCCACCCCTTTCAGTACGCCCTCAGCACCAAAGCCGGAGCAGAAGGCCTCGCACGCGCCGTCCGGGTCGCGACCGAGCTCGACCCCCGCGCTACCGTGCTGTCGGTCGACGGCGTCGGCGCTTTCGATCATGTCGGACGCCAGTCGATGCTCGGAAGCCTTCTCCGCTCCCCTGCGCTTCGACCCCTCCTCCCCTACACCCGCCTCTTCTACGGCCAAGACAGCACCTACCTCTGGTGGGACTCTATTGGCGCCTGCCACTCCGTTCAGCAAGCCGAAGGGGGGGAGCAAGGCGACCCACTCATGCCTGCCTTGTTTGCGCTTGCCCAACACCCAGCGCTGCAAGAGACCGCGGCCACGATGCGGTCCGGGGAAGCGCTCTTTGCTTTCCTTGATGACATCTATGTCATTTCGTCGCCTGACCGCACCCACGCGCTCTATTCCACCTTGCGCGTTTCCCTCCGAGGCCACGCGTGCATCGAACTCAACCAAGGTAAGACCCGCATCTGGAATGCGGCTGGGGAAGAGCCGCGCCACCTCCCAGAGCTGCAGCCGGCTGACAGCAACGACCGGGTTTGGGTCGGCGACTGGACTCTGCCCCCTTCGGCGCAAGGCCTCCAGGTCCTGGGCACCCCCATTGGGAGCGCGCAATACGTGCAACATGCTCTTACCGCACCAAACAAGACCTCCTTCTCCACCGCATCCCATGGGTAGAGAACCTGCAGGCCGCCTGGCTGTTGCTCCTTTTCTGCGCAGCCCCCCGGAGCAACTATCTCCTCCGCGTCCTCCCACCGGCGGACACTACAGACTTTGCAGCCGCCCACGACGCCGCGGTGGCACATTGCGTCAGCACCCTGGTGGCGGCAGGCGCGGCCCTTACGGACCTACAGCTACGCCGGGCCCAACTCCCATTGCGCTTGGAGGGGTGCGGCCTGCGCTCGGCCCACCGTTCGCGCCTCGCCGCGTATTGGGCCTCATGGGCCGACACCTTGCCCATCCTCCACTCGCGCCTTCCTCTTGTGGCGGACCGCCTTCTCCAGCTCCTCAACGGCGAGGCCCGCCCACAACCACCCAGCATCCTCGCCGCCTCCCAGGCAGCCCAGCTCCTCCGGAACAGCGGGGTGACTGTCCCACCCTGGGAATCTATCATCGGCGGCCGCCATTTCTCGCACGAAGACCGGACCCCGGGCGATTTCCTGCGGGGGTGGCAACGCGACATCAGTGCAGCCCAGGACTTGGACGAGCTCGCCGCGCTCCTATCTGACCTTTCCCCTCCGGAGCGCGCGCTTCTCCTCTCCCAGGCTGGCCCACACAGCGGCCGCGCAGTCACCACCCTTCCTACCAGCCCGGAATTCCAGCTCGGCAACCCGCATTTCCGCACCTTGCTGCAACGGCGGCTCCGAGCCCCCTTGAGCTGCGGTCCTTCCCGATGTCGGTGTGGCTTGACACTCGACCCTCACGGCGACCACCGTGCCGCATGCGCCACCACTGGCGTCCTCCGGGCACGAGCTGCGCCCATCGAACGCGCGGTCGCCCGCATCTGCCGCGAGGCCGGTGCCCGCGTCGCGGTCAACGTGCCGCTCTCGCGCATGAACCTCGCGGTCCCGGTCACCGACGCACGCCAGATTGAAGTCCTCGCAAACGACTTGCCGCTATGGCACGGGGCTCAGCTGGCAGTCGACGTGACCCTCGTCAGCCCCCTTGGCCGCACCGGACAGGTGCGCCACGCTTCCGACGCGAACCCGGGCGCGGCGATCCTGGCAGCCTCCCAGCGCAAGCGGGAACACACCTACCCCGAGTTTTCCGGCTCGCGCCGCTGCCACCTAATATCATTTTTTTATCTCTCTGGTTGGCTGGTTTCGGGTCTGCGGTTGTTTCTGGCCTTTTGGTCCTTGTTTGGTTTCTGTGCTATTTCTCTGATTGTTTCCTTTTTTTTTCTCTTGGGTCTCGAAGTAGGAGGTCGTTGGGGCGAGGAAGCCGCCGACTTCCTCCGAGCCTCGGCGCACGCCCGCGCCCGCACTGCGCCAGCACTCCTCCGCTCGGCGGCAGTTCAGGCCTACGTGCACCGTTGGGCCGGCCTCCTATCCGTCGCGGCGCAGCGCGCCCTGGCCGAGACTCTCCTCGAACTCCCGGCCGCGGCCGCGCCCGGCGTCGATGGGGAGCCCCCGCCGTTCGCCGCGACCCTGGCTGACGTCCGGTGGCATGAACGCCCACCGGATAGTCGCCTCCCGCGGTGACCGGTGTGGCTGTACATAGCCTTCCCCAATGGCAAAGTCCATTGGCGCGTGAGACGCAGAGTGGGTCATGCAGCAGGAGTGTTAGTGAGTAAAAAAAAAATGTAACTAATGTAACTAATGTAACTAATGTAACTAATGTAACTAACAAACTAACAAACTAACTAACAACCTAACTAACCTAACTAACCTAACTAACCTAACTAACCTAACTAACCCAACCAACCTAACCAACCTAACCAACCTAACCAACCTAACCAACCTAACCAACCTAACCAACCTAACCAACCTAACCACCCTAACCACCCTAACTAACCTAACTAACCTAACTAACCTAACCTAACTAACTAACTAACTAACTAACTAACTAACTAACTAACTAACAAACTAACTAACTAACTAAGTAGCTAACTAACTAACTTACTAACTAACTACCTAACTATATGACTATATCGAATGAACGAACGAACGAACCAACAAACCAACGAACCAACTAGATAAAATGAATAAATGAAAAGCATACAATGAAACATACAAACATGCGTACACATATACACACAAAGATACAGAAATCATCATAAGTCTGCACACACAGATATATATATATATATATATACCTACATACATACATATATATATATATGTGTGTGTGTGTGTCTATTTTTCTACACATATACTAACTATATACGATATATGGACATGCAACACGTTTTTTTTTTTAAAAAAATGTGTTTGCATTCATACGATTTTGCCGCGAGCGAAATCCAGGCCTTGGAGCAGGTGGTCCAAGAGCTGCTGCACATGGCGCAGCCACCACCTGCGCCACCAACGGAAGAACTTTTTCAGTCTGCCTCGTTTGTCTTCACCATTTTTCAGTCTTTTTCAGTCATTTTCAGCCTGTTCTCCGACATTGTAAAATTGTCTTGGCTTTCATCTTAGCTTGTCACTGCAATGGCTTACTTCTGAGAAGATCTCAACAGCTTTCACAAAGCACGGGCAAAAGGGGCCCAGAAATGCGACCAGAAGCCGAGAAGCCGAGAAGCCGAGAAGCCCGACACAAGCCGAGAAGCCGAGAAGCCGAGAAGCCGCGAAGTACGACACAAGCCGAGAAGCCGAGACAGCCGAGAAGCCGAGAAGCCGAGAAGCCCGGCACAAGCCGAGAAGCCAAGAAGCCGAGAAGCCGAGAAGCCGAGAAGCCACCGGGCAAGCCGAGAAGCCGAGAAGCCGCGAAGCCGAGGAGCCGCCGGGCAAGCCGAGAAGCCGAGAAGCCGAGAAGCCGCGAAGCCGAGAAGCCGCCGGGCAAGCCGAGAAGCCGCCGGGCAAGCCGAGAAGCCGAGAAGCCGAGAAGCCACCGGACAAGCCGAGAAGCCGAGAAGCCACCGGACAAGCTGAGACAGTAGCCCTGGAACCCCCTCTGAACACTATGTTGCATCTTCACCATCACAAGACATCAACTCCCCAACCCCCTCTGAACAATACGTTGCACCTTGAGACATCAGCCCCGCCACCCCCTTTGAATATATGTTGCATCTTCGAAGATCAAGCCAGCGACCCCCTCTGAAAACTACCTCGCCCCGTTAAACTTCTACATTCATTGAAGATCTTCAATGAGGGTTTAATTCTCCCAGCCCCTTCAAACTTCTACATTCATCGAAGATCTTCAATGAGGGTTTAATTCTCCCAGCCCCGTTAAACTTCTACATTCATGGACGATCTTCAATGAGGGTTTAATTCTCCCAGCCCCGTTAAACTTCTACATTCATTGACGATCTTCAATGAGGGTTTAATTCTCCCAGCCTCGTTAAACTTCTACATTCATGGACGATCTTCAATGAGGTTTTAATTCTCCCCAGCCCCGTTAGACTTCTACATTCATTGACGATCTTCAATGAGGTTTTAATTCTCCCCAGCCCCGTTAAACTTCTACATTCATTGAAGATCTTCAATGAGGGTTTAATTCTCCCAGCCCCGTTAAACTTCTACATTCATTGACGATCTTCAATGAGGGTTTAATTCTCCCAGCCTCGTTAAACTTCTACCTTCATTGACGATCTTCAATGAGGGTTTAATTCTCCCAGCCCCGTTAAACTTCTACATTCATGGACGATCTTCAATGAGGGTTTAGTTCTCCCGAGCCCCGTTAAACTTCTACATTCATTGACGATCTTCAATGAGAGTTTAATTCTCCCCACCCCCGTTAAACTTCTACATTCATGGACGATCTTCAATGAGGGTTTAATTCTCCCAGCCCCGTTTAACTTCTGCATTCATGGACGATCTTCAATGAGGGTTTAATTCTCCCCAGCCCCGTTAAACTTCTACATTCATTGAAGATCTTTAATAAGGTTTAATTCTCCCCACCACCGTTAAACTTCTACAATCATTGAAGATCTTCAAAAAGGGTTTAATTCTTTCAGCCCCGTTAAACTTCTACATTCATTGAAGATCTTCAATGAGGGTTTAATTCTCCCAGCCCCTTCAAACTTCTACATTCATCGAAGATCTTCAATGAGGGTTTAATTCTCCCAGCCCCGTTAAACTTCTACATTCATCGAAGATCTTCAATGAGGGTTTAATTCTCCCCAGCCCCGTTAAACTTCTACATTCATTGAAGATCTTCAATGAGGGTTTAATTCTCCCCAGCCCCGTTAAACTTCTACATTCATTGAAGATCTTCAATAAGGGTTTAATTCTCCCAGCCCCGTTAAACTTCTACATTCATTGACGATCTTCAATGACGGTTTAATTCTCCCCAGCCCCGTTAAACTTCTACATTCCTTGAAGATCTTCAATGAGGGTTTAATTCTCCCAGCCCCGTTAAACTTCTACATTCCTTGAAGATCTTCAATAAGGGTTTAATTCTCCCAGCCCCGTTAAACTTCTACATTCATTGGAAGATCTTCAGTGGGGGTTTAATTCTCCCAGCCCCGTTAAACTTCTACATCCATTGACGATCTTCAATAAGGGTTTAATTCTCCCAGCCCCGTTAAACTTCTACATTCATTGACGATCTTCAATGAGGGTTTAATTCTCCCCAGCCCCGTTAAACTTCTACATTCATCGAAGATCTTCAATAAGGGTTTAATTCTCCCAGCCCCGTTAAACTTCTACATTCACTGACGATCTTCAATGAGGGTTTAATTCTCCCCAGCCCCGTTAAACTTCTACATTCATTGAAGATCTTCAATGAGGGTTTAATTCCTCCCAGCCCCGTTAAACTTCGACATTCATTGACGATCTTCAATAAGGGTTTAATTCTCCCAGCCCCGTTTAACTTCTACATTCATTGACGATCTTCAATGAGGGTTTAATTCTCCCAGCCCCGTTTAACTTCTACATTCATTGACGATCTTCAATGAGGGTTTAATATTCCCAGCCTCGTTTAACTTCTACATTCATTGACGATCTTCAATGAGGGTTTAATATTCCCAGCCCCGTTAAACTTCTACATTCATCGAAGATCTTCAATAAGGGTTTAATTCTCCCAGCCCCGTTAAACTTCTACATTCATTGAAGATCTTCAGCGGGGGTTTAATTCTCCCAGCCCCGTTAAACTTCTACATCCATTGACGATCTTCAATAAGGGTTTAATTCTCCCAGCCCCGTTAAACTTCTACATTCATTGACGATCTTCAATGAGGGTTTAATTCTCCCCAGCCCCGTTAAACTTCTACATTCATTGAAGATCTTCAATGAGGGTTTCATTCCTCCCAGCCCCGTTAAACTTCTACATTCATCGAAGATCTTCAATGATGGTTTAATATTCCCAGCCCGTTAAACTTCTACATTCATCGAAGATCTTCAATGAGGGTTTAATTCTCCCAGCCCCGTTAAACTTCTACATTCATTGAAGATCTTCAATGAGGGTTTAATTCTGATGATGATGATGATGATGATGGTGATGATGATGATTATGATGCGTCGCCTGTCGTCATTGCGGGTCCGGGCAAAACCCAGGCATTTGCCGTATATATATATATATTGTTTTTTTGCTAAAGCAACAAATTTTCTGGTTTCCAGAGTTTGCAGCCAAGATGCTGCAAATTTGACAAAAGAAGACAGCACCGATGCCATTGAAAGGTTTCTTGTTCAGTTCCGTGAAGCTTATTTTGAACGTGACTGGAGCCATTTCATTGATGCAGTCCATTGGCATGTTCCATCTGGCGGGACCAAGGGCAAGAGCTGGCACTTCCTGGTTTCTTTTCCTTTTGTCCGCAATTTTGCGACTGCAGTGGAGGAGCACGTGGGGGTTGGTTATCATGAAGCATTGTTCCTCACTGTCCTTTTGGCCCATCGCCAGCGCAATCTGCAGCATATTCGGCTGGCTGCTCACAAAGCAACGCTCGTCACAACTTCACTCGGGACCCACTATTGGAAAGAATGATAAAGAATGCAGGTCTGACAGAGTCGCAGTGGTGTTGGGATGCTTTTGGTCAAGAACTACAGTCCCTGACTCCGATGGAGGCGCGGACAGATAAGCAGACAATAACCTCGTGGCAGATGTGCGCGCCGTGCTGCTACAGGCGCTGTACTTTATGAGGAATTTGGCGGTGCAGGTGGTGGAGAAGATCGCCCTCATGCCTCAGGCAGGCGATGTCAAAGCAAGCATATCTGTTTGTTAAAAATGCGTGCGCTTGACAGGTGCTGCGGTCCGATTTCAACTGGGCAGCAGCTCTTCCACCAGAGCTGCCGGTGGACGCAGCGAAGGCTGGCAAACATTATGTCACTTGCACCATTCTTGACACTTTTGGGCGCTCAATCGAGGTGATGTGCGGCCGGTCCGGAGATCACATCTTGGTGATCTACTTGTCCGAACCGGTGGCTCGGGTCTCCGATGAGACATTGGAGGCCCTTTGCCAGGCCAGGGATGCAGCGAGCATGTGTTGAATTCCCTCTGGTTCAAGCGTTGCAAAGGCGGTTAAAGCTGTGCCCTTCATCCCGCGTAACTCGGACGAGATGGCGCCTGAAGGGCGGGTGTGGGTGGGCGGCCTAATGGGCGATGCCCTCATGACGCAGGAGCTGGCATAACCGTGTGAAAAAAGCATTGCGGTCGATTGGACACGTTGGAACATATCATGCTTGGAACTGGGGCCGACATTACTTGGTTTGAGGTCGTGGACTTTACAAAACTTAGCCAATGCATCCAAGACTCTCTGAACCACCTTTAAGCTTCAACGGTGTGGTGCTTTCCCTTCTTCTTCGCCTCGTGCAGCAATGGCGATTTCCACCGCAATAGTCCAGATCATGGAAAACTGGGCTCAATGGCAACGGTGGCCTGGGTTGCCCGACAGCCTGGCAGATGTGGAGCGCATTTGCGAGCTCCTGCGCCCAACCTCAGAGATGTTTGGATTCAATTCGTCATCCAGTGCATACAAGCCACGCACCCACTGCTACCATGCCATGGGGACGTACGGGCAGCACGACTGCGTGTTCTCCGTAGTCCTTCGATTTAAAATTAAGGAGGACGTTCTCGATTTTGCACGTGCTTGTGGTGACTTCCTGGGGCACAAGATGTGCTGCGATCTGGGACACATTAGTTCTGATTGTGACAGTCTGCGCAATGAGGTCGTGGAGGCTTTCAATGAAGGTCGTGTGTGACCTAGAGAAATCTGGCAGTTATTTCAGCAACATTTTTTTAGAAGCAGTGTCTACGTTCTTTTGACGTCTAAAGATCGCCCACCCCTAAAAAAGTGGTATGGGGAGAAAGAACACCCCTTCGAATTATACCTTTATCGGTCTCGATATACAAAATGATTGCTTCGGTCGATGGGGGAAGGTATAGGTTTAAATAGGCTCATACTTTTCCACCTTGTCCATCCTATTGCTTATACATCCCTCCTTTTCAATTGGGTCCTGTAGGTATTCCCCCATAATACCTAGGGTGTGCTAATATATAAACTTCTCCTGGTCTTAAAATACGCTGTCCCCTCCTAGGCGGGATACATTCAATGCATCCTCAAAATTAATAGACACTGTCCCCTGTCCCCATCTGTCCCTCCTAGGTTAGATATATTGTTAAAAATGTATTTGGGCGGTCATAAAGTAGTTAGGGGGGCGATTTCTAAAGTAATACCACAAATTTATTGTTTCTCAAATTTATACCACAATTAAGAACGCATTGTAAGCAGCCAAAAAACACGAAAGTGCCAGTCCAATCCTATGTTGATTTATTTGGGGAGTTTTAGTATCAGGGACAAGAGATTAATTGCTCAGGGGCCCTGGTTAGTTTTAAGACATACGTCCAAAGATAGCTTTTACAATTGGAGCTGCGCAAACCCGAAAGTGCCGCAAAACCGGTAGGAGAGGGAACAGCAGGGTAGCCCCTTCGCAAGGAGTCCGCCTGCGCCCCCATTACAGGTCAGGGAAATCTTGTGCGGTTCAGGGACGGCTTTTGAGAGTTGAGGAGCAAGGTAGTTAGGGATGCGGTGTGAAGAACACATGCCGACTTGGCTCAACCTTGTCACGCGAGTCAAATAAGCATCGCCCATGCGCACGCCAAGTTTCTGTGGATCAAGGTGGAAGCAACCGGGAAGGCAGTAACAAATTGCAAACAAAGCTCACAAGGGGCTTTGTTTCTCTCGGAGAACATCCGAAGTCGTGGAAAAATGCCGAGAGAGCTGAGCCGAAAGAAAATTAAAACCATTGCTTGGACATGTTCGGAACTGCCCATAGAGTTGCCTTTATTTCTCCTGTGCCAAACTAAGATTAAAAAGCTAAAGCCCAAGTGCCTGCTCCTCCACATTCATGTGCTGATGACTTCTCCTTTTCTACAGTGATACACGGCGAGTTGATTTAAAGACAAAATTAAATAAACCCTCCTTCTATATTGCGCGCGCCAACTGAAACCCAAGACTTACAGAAACTTCACGCAGGCTTAGCCCAATTACTCATCCATTACGCATTCAAAAGCTTGCAATCACCACATGCATACCCAGCTGGCAACTGAAGAGGGAAACATCTTTCAATCACTGCAATCCCTGATGCAAGGCATTGCATCATGTGCTATATACATCTAGCGTGTCGCGCCGCGAAGCAACGCCGTGTGCACTCTTGCAGAAGGAAGCGTCGCAGCGCCAACAGCGTCGCAGCGTCGCTCCCGCGTCGCAGCGTCGCCGCGTCGCAGCGCTACCCGCCCCCCAGAGCGTCGCAGCGTCGCAGCGTCGCAGCGCCACCATCCCCCGGGAGCGTCACAGCGCAACGTCGGAAACCCACGTTTCGGCCCCCTTTGCCCCTGCAATGTTATATTTTAATTTATCTTATCAGATATTATTTCTATAATTCTAATCTGAATCATCTAAATAACCCAAATATTATATCTAATCTAATCCATTTAATCTATCTAATCCATCTATAAGCTATCTAGTATATCTAATCTATCTAATCTATCTCATCTATCTCATCTATCTCATCTATTCTATCTATTGTATCTATTGTATCTATTGTATCTATTCTATCTATTCTATCTACTCTATCTATTCTTTCATATTCTATCTATTCTTTCATATTCTATCTATTCTATCTATTCTATCTATTCTTTCATATTCTATCTATTCTATCTATTCTATCTATTCTATCTATTCTTTCATATTCTATCTATTCTATCTATTCTATCTATTCTATCTATTCTATCTATTCTATTTGTTCTATTCTATCTATCTATCTAACTATCTATCTAACTATCTATCTATCTATCTATATCTATATCTATATCTGTATCTATATCTATATCTATATCTATATCTATATCTATATCTATCTATCTATATCTATATCTATCTCTATATCTATATCTATATCTATATCTATATCTATCTATCTATATCTATCTATATCTATCTATGTATATCTATCTATATCTATCTCTATATCTATCTCTAAATCTAAATCTAAATCTAACTCTATCTATCTATCTGAGTCTATCTGAGTCTATCTGAGTCTATCTATTTATTCTTTTAAATCTATCTAAAACTATCTCGATCTAAGTCTATCTATCTAAATCTATCTATTTATCGAAATCTAAACCTAAACCTAAATCTATCCAAATCGACCCAACTCTATCCAACTCTATCCAAGGCTATGCAAGTATATCCAAATCTATCGAAATCTATCCAAATCTATCTAAATCTATCTAAGTATATCTATCCAAATAATCTATCTAGTCAAAATAATCTATCTCATCTAATAGATTAATAGTCTATCTCGTCTATCTATGCTATCGTTTTTTTTATCTACTCTCTCTACTGTCTGTACAAATATATATATATATATCATATATATATAATATACATATATATAATACATATATACATACCTCCTTCTCTGTAGACAAATCAGCAACAGTCTGCACCGTCCCGGATGGAGGAGACGAGAATGACGCGGATGAGGAGTCCGACACTCAGGACGGTGACGACTACGATGCGCCGCAGACCGAAGGATCCGCATCCGCCGCGTCCTTAGCGGGCCAAAATGGAGTACCCCAATAATTGAGTCTGATTGGGGGTTTGGTTGGGGTTATGAATATATATGGTTGGTGGTTTCAAACATGAATTTGATTTTCCACAATATATGGGATAATCCTTCCCATTGACTTTCATATTTTTCAGAGGGGTTGAAACCACCAACCAGGAGTGGTTAATATGAAAATAGACTTAAGTTTGCCTCCCAGGCCATTTTAGTCTCAGACGTCACTGTCCGGACGCACGGATGCAAACGAGAAAGTGCCAAATATTCAAATTATGCGATATGTATATATATATATATGTCTATGTGTCAGATAAAACGCCAGATGGAATGTCCCAATATATGTCAGAATGCACAACAAAATGCCAGATAAAATAAAATGTCAGAAAGAATGTCAGATAGAATGTCAGAGTGCCAGATGAAATGTTTGAATATATGCTAGGTCAGATAGAATGCCAGATCAAATGTCATATAGAATGGCAGAGGAAAATGTCAGAATATGTTTCAGATAGAATGTTAGATAGTATGCAATAGTAAGAACGCACGAAGTATAATATTGTTGTTATCTTCCACGCCAAAGTGATCCCAAATGGCTGGCATGGATGCTCCATGATGCTCCACACTTAAGATGGTTGTGATGATGTTCCTGTCACTTAGGCAACCACCAGTCAGAGCAAAGGCCTTTGCATGTGGGAGGGTTTGCATCCTTTCATTGTGTCAGAAAATGGTGTATACCCCCAATGTATAGCCATGTTTATTATCGGGAAAAGATCTGACCTGCTGATTCCCAGATTCCCGCGCCGGAGGTGCTAAGCAGTCCACGAAGTCCACCACAAAGTCCACCACGCCACCCGGCAGTGATGGCGTTCCAACGACCACTAGCCAGAGCACAGGCCGAAATGTGGGAAGGTTCCTTTCCAACATGATGTATGGCCATTTCAATCGAGAAAATGGCGATGAACCAAAATGTTTCCCCATAATTTCAAGACAAACCCATATGTTCGAATCGTTCGAAACCATGCAGAATGCCGAGAACTTTTGCGAGAATTAGTTTCAGCCGTTATTCTCCTCCTCCACGGTCAACTGAATTTCTTCAAACTTCACACGAAGGCTAAGGAACTTCTATTATGGATTTTGATAATGATGAGAGAGTGATTTGAGTGATTTGAGTGATTTGCTATTCGATCTGACCTGCTCCCAGATTCCCGCGCCGGAGGTGCTAAGCAGTCCACGAAGTCCACCACAAAGTCCACCACGCCGCCCGGCGGTGCCAGCGTTACGACCACAGCGGCCACCACGGCCACAACGACTGCGGCAGCCGCTACCACGACAGGTGCCGGTGGCAGCGCCGGTGGCAGCGCCGGTGGCAGCGCCGGTGGCAGCGCCGGTGGCAGCGCGAAAACCACCAAAAAGCCGACGACGACCAAAGAAAAAGACGAGGATGAAGCTGAAGATTGGGATACGAAGTTTGGATCTCAGTTTCAACATGGTTTCAACATGGTTTTGGCATTTTTTTTGGCACATCCAAAGATCCCGAAACAATGGACCCATCCGAAGTGGCTCCGCTG